CAATGTAGACCACAAAGGTTCGATAATATTCAGGTCTGGTAACTGTGGTGGCCAGGGGAGATGGGACAATTCATCCTCGTGCTCAGAAAATCAGTCCTGGATAATGTGAGCTGTCTGAACAGGGGCTTTGTCGTCTTGGAAGACACCATCACCATCGGGGAGCAAAGTTTGTACTATGGGGTGGATTTGATCGGCCAAAATGTTCACATAAGTTTTGGCAGTCATGTGCCCTGACACAGTTATCATGGGGCTAGCAGAGAACCACGATATGACTGCCCAAACCATAACAGAACCCCCGCCATGTTTCACTCTTGGCAACAAGCATTCTGTATATAGGCTTGAGATGGCGCTCTCCAGACGTAAACTCGGCCAGAAGTGGGAAACAATGTGAAAGAAGACTCGTCAGACCATATTACTCGCTTCCACTGCTCTATAGTCCAGGCTTTATGACTTAAACACCACCTTTTCCTGTTACGGGCATTAGCATCACTGATGAGTGGCTTCTCAATTGCAGCACGGCCAGCAATTCCCTGTTTATGAAGCTCCCTTCTAATTGTTTTGGTACTCACAGGGTTCGGTAACACAACATTCATTTCAGCAGTAACTTTTGCAGCTGTGGTCTTCTTATTTTTCGTCACAATTGCCCTTAATGATCGTCTGTCACGATCACTCAGGACACACTTTCGTCCGCGCTGTGATTTAGCAGATGATGTTTTTCCGCTTTTCAAATATGCGGAATAAATCTTCGAATACAGTACCTCTTGAAACACTAAACACCTCGGCTATTTTGCTTACGGAAGCACCTACCATACGTGCTCCAACAATTTGCCCACGTTCGAAGTCTGTTAAGTCTGACATAATGCAATGACAACCTCACATAACAGTACTCCGACAACAACTGAACTGTTTAGCACATTTACGAAGTTGTATAGGTGGCATCAGTAGTCAAAAACGCCAGCGCCACCTACATATTTCATTAAAATCAATCTTTCTTTTCAAACATGCATTTCACAAGGTGTTTCCATATTTTTGTCCATCCACTTCATTTCATATTTTTCATTTCATATTTTCATTTTGAGCATGTTCAAATTTTTAATTTCTGTGCATTCACTATATTTTTCAAGTAATGTAATTTTCAATAATTTAGCATATACCCAAAATTTTTGCATAAAAATATGCTTAAATATAATTTGAATGAAAATTACATGCATTATTTTTAATACCCATTCAAAGATAAGTTTTTCTTCGAAATTGCTCCATGATAACATCTCTCCCTTTAAGCAGATGGCCCTTGCATGCCTTACTATATTTAATAAAAACTTAACCTGACCCTATGTGCCTAATTACAAATATTTTAACATGCATATTTTTATATTTACGGGTATCAGGTTTCAAACTTTTGACTTACACGTTTTAGGATATTAACACGTTTTAGGATACATTCATTATCAAATCTTCTAGTAAATACATTCTAGCAGAGCACTCAATAACACTTTTAGCAGTTTTACCCAGTTTAATAATTGTCTGATAATATAATAAATAATAATTATCCAATTCACATTTAAACATTAACCGCATTTTCATCAGATTGCAATCTTGATTGCCTGCATAATATTGCTTCATTTGCCAGGTTCGCAAATGTATCCGTCTTCTGTGTAAAACTATACATAATCTTACAAAAATGTGTGGTTACAGATCAAGGAAAAGTTAACTTATTGGCATATATGTGTGTGTATTTATTAGCTTTGATGAGGATTGCAGCATTTGGTGGTAGTTTTATTTTTTAATTAACCCAAATAAGTAAAAAGTGTAAACCCAAAGTGGTTATTTTTCAATTATATAAAAATAAAATGATGAGTTTAAAATGAGCAATTATAAACCTATCCTCTGAAAATTTGTGAAAAGTACATGTTACAATAATATGTGGGTGACCAAAAAAAAACTTATTTTATTTAAAACATTTTGGCGTTTGGAACTGTCAAGGGTATCGAAAGACGTATACAATTGTAAAGGTACCGTAAGATATTTTTCATCCTTTAACCATAACATTTTTTCTAAAATACATATTTTCATAGTTCAACAGCTTAGATTTTTAGAAAATAAATTCATAATTAAAATCGTTGTTAGATTTTGAAAAATAACCAAGATGTGATTTTTGCGTGAATGTCATTAAACTACACAAATTACTATTATCCATGACACAATGAATGTATCTTTTATGTGGAAGTGACTCATTTTTCGATTTGTATGGAACTGTCATGTGTCAAAACATTATCAAAGCACTGTCAAGGGACCTTCTAAATGTAAACAAAAGACACCCCATCTGAAGACCGATGCCTTGGAGCAGTGCTTCACTTGTAATGCGGAGTTGACCCCTCCTTCCTTTCTTACCTCTATGGTGTCGATGGATTTCCTCTTGTTACTAATAATTTAACAGTAGGAACATTGGAAATAGTATATACTTTTTATTTTTAAGTATACCTGCAAACAATCAGAGTTTTTTATAAAAAATTTCCTAGAATATTTGTGATACTTTTTCCGGGTATTCGTTTTGTGCCTTATATTTCTGGAGAGTAGCGTTATGATTGACAATTTTTCTCTTTCCAATTAATAAGTTGGTTTTTTTTTTTTTTTTTTTTTTTTTTTTTTTTTTTTGTGTTGTGTGTGTGTGTGTGTGCGTGTGTGTGTTGTGGTTGGTTTTTTTTTTTTTTTTTTGTTTGTGTGTTTGTTTTGCTGCTGTTTTTGTTTTTTCATTTAGAACTGTTAATGCCATGCATTTCAGCTTCAAATTCAGTTTACATTTCAGCCTTCAAAACTTTCTGCCATTCACTCTTCATATCCAAGACTATGATATACCATAACTGTTTTCAGTATTATATATTATTTCATTTGTAATAATTTTAAAATGTTATTCTTTCACATCTTTGTTGGTAGAAATTGGTATATAAAATTTGCATTAAATCTGAATACAGCATTACCTGTCGTGGAAATGTTTGTTTGTTTGTTTGTTTGTGTGTGTGTTTGTTTTGCTGCTGTTGTTTTTTCATTTAGAACTGTTAATGCCATGCATTTCAGCTTCATATTCAGTTTACATTTCAGCCTTCAAAACTTTCTGCCATTCACTCTTCATATCCAAGACTGTGATATACCATAACTGTTTTCAGTATTATATATTATTTCATTTGTAATAATTTTAAAATATTATTCTTTCACATCTTTGTTGGTAGAAATTGGTATATAAAATTTGCATTAAATCTGAATACAGCATTACCTGTCGTGGAAATCTTTGTCGTTTACTAATTGCAATGTCTTTATTTTCTGTACATTTAATGTTTTCTCCAGAATTTTGTTACTTAACACTCAATTGTTTGAAAGTGGTTATTGTTAACAGAAGTGGATTTCCTTTTTCTTTTTGTCTAATTTTTTTTTTTTTAATTTTTTTTTAAGCATCTTCCAATAAAAAGCTATCTTAACAACTCCATGGCTTTAAAAGCAATTAAAATGCTGCATGAACTTGTGTTAAATGATGCTTCTGAGAATCTGTGCCAGAGTTTTAAATAATGAATTGGATATAATATAAGGTCTACCAGAAAGTTCTGTCTGTTAATGTTATTTCCACACATGCATGTTTTCATTTAAGACATATATAGTTGTCTGTCTTTTTTATTGCATTTGTGTACACTGCGAAAAAAAAAAAAAAAAAGGTGGGGGCAGTTCCATATCTCCCGTTCTGCTGGGCTATTCAATGAAATTCAACTTGTATTTTTCATGTCTCAAAAGTTTGACTTATTAGATTTATATACAGCATTGGTAATATTGGTATTTTGACACAAAATCGGACTTTTTCTGAAATGACATGCCAATTTTTTTTTTTTTTCCATATTTTGATTCTAGGACTCTAATTCTGCCAAACTGCCTAATTTTATAAAATTCGCACGAGTAGTTTTTAAAAAATTTGCTTTCAAAATTTTTGCTCCTCAGTGTTAATTGAATTTGGTGTATATTTATTAATGTCTCTTTTTTTATTATACTTACTTGATTCTCTTTTCTAGAATTCGAAATTTAGGTTCATTCCAAATAAAATTCACCCATTTTTTATGATTTATTTTTTTAAATTGTATTTTTAAATAATTTTTATAATTTTTTCAGAAGAAATTGTGAATTATAACCTATAAAGTCTTATCATCATCTTAAAGTTGATGCATTTTTAAGTATACCTGCAAACAATTAGTTTTTTATTAAAAATTTCCTAGAATATTTGTGATTGGCACGTTTTGAAGTTTGCCATATTTGTTATTCAGCAATAATAGCACTAAGTATAGTTTACATACTTTGTTAAAATTATTTGAAATAATAAACGATGAGTTTTTTTCCCATTTATTTACAATGAAAAAAGGAAAAGAGAATAGGTTGTCATAAATTAAGAAATTTGCCAAGTGAATTATTCTTGGCACAAATTGTAAAAAATGTGCCAAGATAAATTTTTAAATTTCTCCATAAATTTTGCACAAAATTTAGGCATAATTTGAGTCAGAGAATCGAAATATGGAAAAAAATTAGCATTTGCTTTCAGAGAAAGTCCGATTTTGTGTCACAATACCTATATTAGAACAGTGCTATATATAAATCTAATGTATATCCTAAGTCACGCTTTCGAGACATGTAAAAGGCAATTTGAATTTCATCAATCGGACCAATAGAGTGGGAGATATACAACTGTCCCCTGCCCCCTTTTTTTTGCTCACTGTACATGTGCTCTTCTAAATTAACTGAAACAGAAGTGTCTTGCAACTAATATTTCCAACAAATGAAATGTAAGTTTCTATTTTGTCAGGATATAAATTTCATATAATGAAAACAGTAGCATTTTCTTCAATTGTTAATAATCTCCCCTTCTTCATTATATCCCAGTTATTGAGGATTTAATATGTTTTATTTTCAATTAATGCTATAGTTATGTAAATTTTATTGTTTTTAGTATCATTTACTATTTATTTTAGGTGCGCAAGATTATTATGTCACCAATTAAAGATCCCAAAGTAGAAGTGGCAATTGTTGTACTGATTGTTCCTTTTATTATTAATGTAAGTAAATCTTGTTTTTTTAGTTCAAAGGGTCAATTTCCCCAGAAGGACTATTAATTTCGTTTTGACATTTTGCATTGATTCAGTATAAATGTTGATTCAATTTTCAAATTGTTGCCACCAAATATTATCGCCTGAGATATATTTAAAGAAATTAAATAATTAAGCATCTGCATAAATGTATGTATGTTTCTCATGTTGTAATAAAACAATGGTATAGTTTGATCGTCTCAAGCGCAACACTGGTTGGCATTCTGCCAAAACACATAGACTCGTCCAAAAGAGGCAGTAATACTTGCTGCGACGTGAAAGGGTCTTCTCTTCTCCGGAAAGAGTTATGCTGGAGGGAAAGAAAGTCCCCATCCTTCCACCCTATTTTGAGAATAATTTGGTCTGAATGGCGCATGCGTGTTTGCGCTCATGGTCACAGATGAGGCGGTCGAACTATACCTAGAGACATCAGATTTTGAATAACATAATCTTTATGGAATATGGGCGCTAATTTGGAGTTTCAAATTTGTTTTATTATCGATTTCATATTTTGTTACACTTTAACGAATTTTTTATTAACAAACTCTACGATTTCAAAGTGAGCAATGGCAACACTGTATGGAGGAAAAAAACGTTTTTATCTGCGGTGCAAGACTGCATATGATAAATTCTAAAGATATGCTTATTTTAAAATTATTTTGTGTTTTTGCTGTTGAATTTAATTTAGTGCAAAGAACATGATATTTAATAAATAAAGGTAACACACAAAACATTTTAAAAAAGTCCCTTTGAGTCTAATGTACTTTTTAAAAAAAAAAATATATTTAAAAGAGATAATTTGTATTTTATAAATCGTATACACAGTGATCCAGTGGTTTATAAACCCAATGAGTGGCCAGTTTACTAATGTTGCAATCAGTATCCATACTTTAATTCAGATCCTATTTTCAACAACAAAATAAGCTGACAATAGGAGTTTTCTCATGGTTTATTTTTTGTGTAAAAGTTATTAATTTCCTAAGGTAAAAGTAAATTAGTTACTGCTAGAAAAGTCTACCTAAATTTTATGACTTTTAGTAAATAGCGCTCAAGTACTTTGCTGTATCCATCTTTTCTTACAGTATGGTAGGTTACTAGTATGATTTCAGGGTATGGAATAGCTGGTGAGGAATAATTAATAAAAAATTCATTAACAATGTGAAAGGATTAAAAAATCCATATTATAATTTGTAAGTAATTGTCCAATCTGATCATCTAAATCTTAAATTTGTAATAGTGGAATATAATGATCTTTTTGGTAGCAATTATTTCACCAAAGGATCTGTAGCTCATTTTCTCAAAAAGACATTTTGAACTGTAGAGTAAATTTTATTTCATGCAACTCAAAGCTGATAAAACATGTACTAAAAAAATTGCTAATGGCAAGACAACTGGCTTCTAATTCTGCAAGACAGAAACCTCACATTTAATTTCAATATCAACATATTTTCCCCAAAATTTATAATTCATTATAGATCATATTTATACAGTTTTAAATGTGCAGGCACCAACATATTACCTGGCTTTGCAGTATTGCATAGCTTCTGAACTAACATATATGTAAATAAGCTGTAATATAGAAATCATTTAAACTATCATAAAAAATTTGAACTGAGTACTGTGAAAGAATACATAAATTAAGAATAATACAATACAATATTGAAAATGTGTTGATGTTAATTACAGTTAATTACATAACATCATTACATCTTACAAAATGTTCAATTGTGTAAGGTTCAGGTTGTTCAATCATAATACAACTGCTTAGATATTAATACAAAAATAATGATAAATTAAATATTCATTTTTATAATGATCAAAATGCATAGTTTTGCAATTGATCATTTATGTGCACCTTTTTATCCCCCCTTTTGTTTGTGTCTGTGTTTAAATTTTCCAGATAGGTTACCCATTATTTGCTAAGTAATAGTTGTGGGCTTAGATTTAAAACATGTTATACACTTGTTTGTAACTTTCCTACAAACATTTCTGCTTCTTGATGGGCAGAATTGACTGAAACATAATAGATGAAGACTAAGAACTGTAATGCATATTAATTTTATGATAATAGCTTATAATCATAAGTTGATTTTATAATTCATGGGTAATAATAGGAGCTATTTCTTATTGTAATTTAAGTCTGAGTGTAATTTAATTGTGTTATTTTACTGTTTGCAGACAACTGAACCCTTTTTTTTTTTTTTTTTTTTTTTTTTTTTTTTTTTTTTTTTTTTTTTTTTCAAGTTCTTGATTTCTGTTAGAAAGGTTTGTGACTAATATATATACACTAGGACTTGCTGTACCTCTTGAAGTTTTTCAGCTTTTAGATAGCCAAATATGTTGTTTCCTGGGTTACTGAAAAGATGATCAGTGAAATGTTTTCAATCACTATAAGCCTAACAGTAAAACAATTTTCAGTACTTGTGTCAGTCCCCCATTTTTTAAAATTCTGAGACTAATTAAATCAGTTGCAGGTGTATTCCTAACAGATACATATCTACTAGTTAAATAGTTAAATATGCTGGTGTATACCACCACATGTCTTGCAAAGAATTTGGGCCCACCAACGGACAAGCAGTAAAGTCGCTGAACACTGGTAGTTCGGTCCAAGGTTTGAATCCTGTGAACGCATGGGAGTTTCCGTGGTTTTCCCCATGTGTAGCATGTATATGAGCCAGTTTCCCTTTGAAAGTCCTCCACGAAGGCATCCCTCTCCTTAGGCAGATAGCCCTCAAGGCTTTGCCATAATCACACACTTGCAAAGAATTTTCTTTGAATTTAAGCCCCTATAAACTAGATCTGCTAGATTATCAGTCAGGGGAATATATTGCCATTAACAAATAGATGTCATCTCTTAGATCACTGCTGCATAAATTTGCCAGAAATCTTTGTATAGCTGTTTGGATGCATACAAAAAATGTTTGTGGAGTTCAACCATATCCAGATAACACTAATTTCCATTTCCAGTGCAAACAGAACTCTTTTTACTTAAAGTAATATTGCAACATACAACTGTAAGCAGGGATAGATATGTGATTTGTTCACTCTCAGCCTAGTTGTTATTTCACCAGATAATTCAATGGATCTCATGCAGAGAAGAACTCTGTGTGCATCTTCAGATGTATCTGCAAACCTACTTATTTACTTCATAATTTCCCTCTTGGGAAGAATGCAAATGCTTGTTTCACAATTATTAATCAAATGCGAGAATGAAGTATATATTTTTTCCCCTGCATTTTTATGATTCCTTGGCCAGGCGATAATCATTCCAATTAGTATTGTAAAGATATACTTTTACATGTGTATTTTGGCCCTTATTATTACTGTACCCAAAATTCCTAAAATACATGCAGTAGTAGAAAATACAATTATTTTCATATATGATGTGTTAATATATCTTCCATTTCCTTGAATGAAAAGCTGTTTTTAATTTGTTTCCATGAAATTCCTAAAATTCTGATTTTGCAGTTTCATCAATTCTTTAAACCCTTCATGGCGGCATGTTGCTGAACTAAAAACCCTTCTGCAGACAGGTATGTCATATATGCCTCAGGGTTCCCAGACAAAAGCCCACTGGACGAAAGTGCATGCGACAAAAGCCCACAAAAAAAAAAAAAGCCCACGCTACAAATACCCACAGCGATGAAAGCGCACATTCATGAAAGCCCACACTGATAAAAACCCATGTTGATAAAAGCCCACATAGATATAAGCACACACTGATAAAAGTGCACATAATCAAAAGGGACTTATGCTTTTTTATATCTAAACCGTGTACTTATAATTTTAATTATAATAAATGGAGTATTCAGATCTGAATTTTAATGTCTCAAATATGTCTGTTTGTATAATTTATCACCACTTTATTTGTTTAATTTATTAGGTTGAAAGCAAACTTTCTACTCTCTGATTAAGTGATTAGCTATAATGTTTCGATGATAAATCTGAAATTGCATTTTATTATTTATTTACGTATTTAACTTTGGTATGTGTATGCAAAAATGAAAAATATCACTGTGGTGTTTCTCACATGCTATTTTTAAGGTAATATGGCTGAGATTAAATATAATTATGTTTCATTATTAAAACTATTAACTTTTTAATTAAAAACACTTGAATTTTATTTCTTTTTAGTTTTTTAGTTTCTTTTTAGTTTAGGAATATTAAAACAGTTAAACACAATGAAGACTTGGTTAAGAGATATTTTATTCTTTACTTTAGACTGAGCTTATTATCAAAGTTTAAACATATTTCTCATTGAAAGCTATTTTGAATGTAACAATTATAACTTGGCAATTTTCTAGAGATATTTTCTTTTAGATTTCTGAATAAATTAAAATTGTCAGCCCTGTCAGAAAATGAATTCCAAATGCAACCTTTTAATCTTTCAACTACAGCAATTTGGAATAGTGTTTTTAATTTTTATTTTATTTATTTATTTTGGGGGGGATGGAACAACTCTTAGAAGTCAACATATCTTCAAAATTAAGTACAATCATCTCAACTATAGTAATAAATATGTATAATTTTATTAGAAGTGAAGATTACAAAGAACTATGCATATAATAACATGTAATAAAATTTTGTAACTACGAGGCGTATTCGGAAACTAAGTACCTTTTTGAAAAAAAAAATAGTAAAACAACTTTTTCGAATCCAATTTTATTTTTACATGAAAATACATGTCTTAAACTATTTTTCAACAAAGTTTCTGCCAATGATCAAACACTTGTCATAGCGGGTGACCAGTTTTTGTATACCATCGTCAAAGAAACTTCCCGCCAGTTTCGATAACCACGACTCCACAGCATTTTTCGTGTCATCATCAGATCCAAAGCACTTGCCACCAAGCTCGCGCTTCATGTGCAGGAACAAGTGATAGTCGGACGGTGCCAAGTCCGGGCTGTACGGCGGGTGATCGAACTGCTCCCAATGAAACTGTCGAATTAACGATTGAGTAACACCAGCTA